CACCCTAGCATTCTGCAGGATCTCCTTATGAATCCATTTGTCACTTCTGTTCCAAATGATCCGGAGTAAAGCAAGCAAAAAAGCAAACTGCCCTCTACTAAGATGATTAACTAAACTCCCGAGTCCCGAGCTAATCCTTACAAGAGGTCCTCGAAGAATTAAACACCCTACGATCCCAAGAGGAGAATACAAGGACTTCCCTAGCATACTAGCAGTCTCTGAAAGCATTCTTTGCACTTACAGCATCAGGATTGATTTCTGAGTCACCTGCTTGATTTGCACTTATAGCGTTCTTCTTCAACAACACGAATCTGACTACCGATGAAGATCAGCGAACATAATAGTAGCATAGCGAAGAACCACACCATAGGTGTAGATATTCATTTTGTCCGGGGATACATCCAAGTTCATTTATGTTATTAATTAGTTTAAAATATTATTGGGCTAGTTATTTAGTTATGTGTAGGGTGCATATTATATGGGTATACATATTATTAGTTATATTTACATGTTATATTATTATTAATTAGGGATTAATTATTAGTTACTTTTACTAGTTGTGCATGCGACTATATATATAATTATATGGTTAAATTATGATATTTATGTGGATGTACATATATAATATTATATGCATAAAGGTATGAGTGTGAGTTTATATTATATACGTATAAATATATATATTATATGCGGATATATGAATATGTAAATAATTAAATATATATATATAACATTAATTTAAAATGCAATAAATCTTATTCAATGTCATTTACAGGCCAACATGTTATAAACAGGCTGATATGACCCAGCACATGAAGCCCAAAGAAATTACAAGGAAAAGTGACCCAAACAGTAGCCAAGGACCGAACTGAAGCAGGCCCAATCGGTTAGGGCTTGAAGAAAACCCTAGAGTTTTTCCTAATCCAGCCGCCACCAAGGTATTCTAGAAGCATCCACGCGTGCCTCCAACGCGGTGATTCCTCAGCTTCCATGAGCAACGCCAACGTGCACCAATGATCCCCAACCTCTGCATGAGCAGTTTGCCCGCAGAGAATGAACGGGGTCCCTGCAACGCCAACAAATCAGCAGCCTACCCATAACGTACGATCCTTCTTTGATTCGTATAGGACTCACGAGGAGCGACAAAACGAGGGCCTTCAAATACATGAAAATCAACAAATTGAAGGGGAGGATTTTTCTTCAAAAAGAAACCATTATCATCAACCAAAAATCGGAGAACAAAAGAGGGAGAAAAATCGACAGAAAAAAAAAAACCCTTAGAAAGAATTTTGTAAAAGAAAAACAAATGAGAAAACCATAGGGGTCAAGTTCTTTTAAAAAGAAGCTCTTCGTTTTTGTAAGGCCGACGGCCATTTTTATTTTATTTTTTAAATGAAGCCCTTGATTCTTCCGTAGATCTACTTCATTTGAAACATTTTCTAAAGAGGGAAGGAAAAGGAGTCGTAAAGGTGTTCGGTTACCTTTCCGTCGCCGACGAACGGATATTGGAGCCAACTTGCGGTGGCTGGTGCGGTGAAGCGGTGGCCAATTTCTGGGTTATTGGATGAACACCAAGAACACTAGAATTTTGGGAGAGCCTTTTTGATCCAAAAAATGTTTTAGGAAAATATGAAACTTGTTAATTTTTTTTTAGCTTTTATACTAATTTTAAAACAACCCACCCTCAAAGAAGCGTGTTTCTTGAATTGGGAGAGTCCAACCTTCTCTTCGATCCTCGCGGGTTTCTTAGATTTGCATTTTGATTCCTTTTTCATTTTAATGCCTTTTTATTTCCCTTATTTGCGGCTGTTTATTACATCTTTGTTTTAATTTAGTCCTGGATGCATGTTTTATTTGTGTTTTTCATTGTTCACAGGTTTAATCCATAAAGTTTTTGTTTATTTGATTTAGTCCCTTTTCGTATATATGTTTGGTTAAAATTTGAATTTATCTTTTGTTGCTGTTCATTTAATATTAGCCATATTATTGTATTATTTATATGGTATTATATATATAGCAAATGTAATTTTTGTACTGTGTCTTCACTTTATAATATGTATATATATACACCATGTAGTTTATATTTATTAATTTGTAAACATTGCTCGTATATAATATTATGTGTTATGTTTCATATTGTATCTATATATTTATATAAGCATGATTCGATTGATATATACATAAATATATTGTTATGCTCTCGGTTAATATTGTTAAATAGATATTTTATGTGAATATTTTATTTTGTATTGTAATTTCTTTATATATGTTTTAACGTATTTTGGTTGCATGACATCATTTTTGTATAATATGTATGATACCCTCTTAAGCATAACTCGACTCAATTCAAATAATTAGACTAAGTGTAATACGTTTTCATTTTAAGGTTGTTATGAAGTGATTGTTAAGGTATAAGAAAGTTACTTCTAATGATTTTAAAATGAAAGTGTGTCCCATTAAATAAAATCCTAAAAATTGACTACACGTAAAATTTGGGAACAAGAGAAAAAAATATTTGTCTATTTAAATTTATCGAGAAAAGATCGTTAGAACTTATAAAAGGTTCAATTTCGATGTTTTTAAATAATCAAACATCCTTCTTCTTTCTAAAAGGATAGTTAATTCGTGTTTAATTAATCTTTATTTTTATCATTATTCATGCATTTAAAACTTGAATTATTAATGAACTTTATTATGAAATAGTAATATTTCCTTATTTCGGTTAGATTAAGAAATGACTGCTTTAAGACATGAGAGACATTTTCTTCTCGGTAAGAAATAATTAAATATTGTCATTTTTCGTCCTAAAATTCAAGGAATGTGTTTAAAAAAGATCTTAAATTAAATTAAATTTGAACTTGTAAGATTCATTGCAAAGACAATTAATTAATCGACTAGGTACCGATTTAGGGTGTTGTGGGGTGCTAATCCTTCCCTAGCGTAATAGACTCCTGAACTCAATTTTTACTACACCGACCTTAAAATATTGTTTTAGTAATTTTTAAATTAAATTTTATTAAAATAACAAAACATTTTGGGTGCTCAATCACACCCTAATCAAATATTGGTGGCGACTTATCAAATCATGTTTTATTTTGATTTTAAAAAAAACCCCAAATTAATCGAGACGAGATTTTTAAATCACACTTAATTAAAAATTAAATTTATTTTTAAGAAATCGTTTCCCCAATAAGCAGAACCTTTCATCGAATCCATGTTATGAACTTACAACATACTACCGATGGAACCAAATTACTAAGATAGGACAGATATACGCAGAAGAAGCTCAGAAGTTGAGAGATACACACATAGGAAGAGAGGCTGTACTCTCACACGTTTTATTGATAAACCCTCAAGAGAGATCGGGTAATATTTATACAAAGTTGTATTAATCATTTGAGATTAGCACTCTAAGAGACTCTCCTAACCAATTCAACCAATGCAATCAATTCATAACTAGACTAACGGTGCAGTCCATACAACAGAAACACCTAAGAGAACTAATCTGCACTCCTTAGGTTAGAACTAACAACAACTCTATGAGCTACAGTTACAGTTATAACACAAAATTCTCAGCTCTTTAAAATTTTTATGCTAAATATGTGTGTTTGAATATTATTATATTGGCGGAAAGTACCTGGTCCTTAATGGAGTCTACTCTGCTGTAAAGTAACATTGATCTATTCACTTGCATCATTTAATATGCATGGGGCTGTGTTTGGCTGAATGATTGCTCTGACATATGTCCATGGTCCTTTAGTTTTGAAATCCTGTGGTAGTAGGCCACCCATTGTTAAAAACTAGGGATGAAAAAGATAAGATCGTAACTTATACTGCTGTAGTGTTTTTCAAAGCTTTCCAACTGCAATTATTAAAACAACATTATTAATTAGGTGTCATAATCTCAATGGGACACGCATTTATCGAAATTAAGGATGCAAAAATTCTAAGCGTGTAAAGCACACAAATGGTATCTTGACAATAAGATATTGTTTTATTAGATGCTCAACTATTAAAAAAATATAAAATGATTATTGGACTATAGAATATTGTTTTGTCGAGTCATTCGATTATTAAAAGTTATAAAATGATCACTCGACTATTTATATATAAACTCATATTTTTCTATTAAAAAATTAGCGGTCGTCTGAATTGAATATTAACATGTTAATTAAGATATAATAAAATCTGATCTCATAACCGTCTGAGTTGTTGTATTTTATAGATCGACTATCCATTTACATTATATTTTGAGCTAGCGCTTGAAAGATTATACCGTGGAGCCAGTGCTTGAAAGCAATGGTAGTGCCAGTAAACATTATTAAAATATGATTTTATCTTATGTTAGTCAACAAGTTATTATACAACTCATATGGTTGCCATTTTTTAACGAGAAATTACGAGTTTGGAATATATGAATAGTCGGATGATCATTTTATAACTTTTAATAGTTGGAGGATTCAACAAAACATCCTATAATTAAATACATTTTATAACTTTTAATAGCCGGTAGACTTAACAAAACATCACGCTATAGTCAAGAACATTCGTGTACTTTACCTAAATTGTAATTGAAGTTAATTAGGTGAATAGTGGAAAAATAACTTAAATCAGAAAACAACGAGGCTTAACGATGAGATGCATGTGATGTATGGTTCGCTTTTACAATCTGCATCTTGAAAGCTAAGTTGCAGAATAAATAATGGGCCTACCAGCTTTTCTTTTCTTAACAGGGAAAATCCCAATTGCAATAAAGAAAAGTAGCTACGGAGAAAGCAAGGGAAAAGGTTGAAATAAAATGAAAAGAGAAGATATGGAGGAGGTGATGATAATGATGATTAGAGGCTCTGGCAATCAAAGCAATGCAGCTTTTCCTCAAGAGCAAGAATTCATCAACACTGCCATTTGCCCTTGCTGGAAACTTTACGAAAATCCCTTTTATTGTTCACCTGTTCATCATCGACAACAACCATGCCCACGTAACAAGCGTTTACATAGACTAGGCCTCCCTCTTTCAGCTCGAAAGATCGCTGCCTCTTTCTGGGATCTTACCTTCTTCAAACCAGTTATGGATTCTGATCTGGACATTGCTCGGGCCCATATCATTGAGTTGAAAGCTGAGCTAGAGTACGAACGTAAAGCGCGTAAAAAGGCAGAAGCCATTAATAAGAAATTGGTTAAAGAAGTTGATGAGGAACGAAGGGGAAGAGAAGCATTGGAGAGAGTATGCGAAGAGCTTGCAAGTGAAATTTCATTGGATAAAGCAGCCATTGTTCGAATGAAGAAGGAGGTTGAGGAGGAAAGAAAGATGCTAAGAATGGCTGAAGTTTTAAGGGAAGAGAGGTTTCAAATGAAGCTGACTGAGGCCAAGATTCTCTTTGAGGAGAAGTTGTTAGAATTGGAAGAAACTAAACGCATTTCACAGAAGAAAAAAGAAGATAAGATACCAGCATTTACTGCCAATCTTTCAGGGAAGTTTTCAAGGTTAGTTTTCAGTGAGAAATCTTGTGATAACAGTACCAACACTGTTGATTCGAGAGAGTTAACAAGATTTGCATCCAGTGAGTCATCATCTTGTACTTCATCCATGGAAATAAAGCGAAAAGCATCTCCAGAAACTCAGAATCCTCACATAAAGAGAGGGATCAAAGGGTTTGTCGAGTTTCCTAGAGTGGTTCAAGCAATTGGATCAAAGAGTAGGCATTGGGGTACGAAGCTGGAGTGCCAAAAGACTCATCTAAAGATCCTACTTAAGCAGAAAAGCCCCATCCGATCAAATAGTCTCATTACGAGTTGAGTTTATCAATTCCCTGCTTCAAACACTATATTCTCCAAGTTATTCCACTTGCGTTTTTTGGTTTAAATTATGTTTCTTCTTGTAAATTTTATTGTTGAGTTGTTTCTGCAAATAGGTTACCCAAAATATCATGTTCTTGGAAGATTATAAGAATTAACGGAGTAAAAATATGCTTTGGTTTGTAATTTGCTGTGAGGCTGTCTGATACTTTTCAAGAATTTGTATTCGGTACTTTAAATGAATCTACTGTGTGATTTCAATGATTTTGGATAATATTTTTTCCTCTCGATAATTTAAATTCAAACAATAATATTTATATAATCGATTGAATAATCTTAGTAATAAATGAAAATATTATTTTTAAAGAATTTGAGTTCAAACATTTTTATCTGTAAAGTGTGTGTTATCAATCAATTAAAAAAAATTAATAGAAAATAATAATATATGTGGGAGGTGAAACGAAACCTAAATAGTTTGAGAAGCTAAAAATATAGATATATTGACAAAATTACCATCAAACGTTTGTACAAATGGTCACTTTGCCTCCAATTTTTTCTCGGAGTATTTTTGTCCTCAACGTTTTAATTTTTTGTCAAAACACACCCTGTTGGATAAAAATCATTAGTTGACTAACGATCAACAACACATGTTATTGACGTGACATTTTCACATGTGTTCAATTGATGATATGGCACATGCCACATCACCCAAAGTGATTTCATGTTATGTGTCATGTTAGCAATTGAACATGTGTACAAACGACATGTCATCCAAAATGATAATGTGACATGTGATATATCACCCAAAATAATGACGTGAATGTGCTACGTAGGTCACGTCCCTCAAAATACATGTGATATATTCCACGCCTCTCAAAGTGATGATATAGTATGTGTCTTGTCGGCAATTGAATACATATAAAAATGTCACATTAATAATATAAGTTGATCGTTTATCAAATTTCAATTTTTATCAAACGAAATATATTTTGACCAAAAATTGAAATGTTGAAAATTAAAATAATCTAAAAAATAATTATAAAATAACAATTCGTGCAAAAACATAATTTTATCATTCTGCCAAAAATATAGTACTGAAAATTGGGAAGAGACATCTCCACGTGTTGGACTTTATTAGTAGACTATTGGTGGATCTTCACTTGGATAAAAAAGAAAGTACTCGACAGCTCTTTTTAGAGAAACCTTACGGTTAGGGTCGGGAAAATTCAACGATCTCTGGGGACAGATCGCATGTGCATGAAAACTGTGTTATTACGAGTGATTGTAAAGCGAAAGTAGTTGAGAAGTCGATTTCCATTTATTGGAATAGAAGGGATACACAGCGAAAGTGTACTAGAGCCTATGTAACAATTGTAATTATTCTCGTAATGTTAAACATGTGATACACCATTAAACCTACTTATTTATGCATTTATGTTAATTTAGGTATTATTATTATTATGCTTAAAGTATAAAGTTATACTAATATTAGTATGTTTAATTGTTTGTATTTATGAATTCATTAAATGGTTTCAGTGGTTAAAGATAAATTTGTTCTCTTTAGAAGTCATGCGTTCGAGTAATTGTGTTTGCAATGTGTGTATTTTGTTAATACTTAAAAAAATCTAAATAGATACTATTTTATAATCATTCATACTATTAAAAAAGCTATTTATATTTATAGATTTATTTATTTATTGCATAAAGGAAAAACAAAATGAATGTTTATGGATCGAATTCGAGATTGATCTAAAATGAAGATTTGATGTTGAGTTTGCTATCTCTTCACACTCGTGGTTCAATCAGTCATATTTTTATAGTATTGTTTATGTTTAATTTATTATACATGTTTGAGATTAATGACTAATTTTTTCAATAATATCATTTTGTAGATGCTCATTTTATCAGGGGTTTTATCCAAGTTATATATATTACTAATACAAGATATTATTGGGCTTTATTTAGTTATATATATATATATATATATTGTGTGTATTATATATGAATATATATTATTATTATTATGTGTGAATACACATATACATATATCATGCATGCGTATGTTATACATATATATTATCATTTATTATTAATATGGTGGCTTTTATGTATGGGTGTGCGTATATGATATTATATATATAGGCTTGTGTTGCATATTAGGCATATGAATATATATTATTTATACGGTATTATATGGTTGTGTTTTTCTATATATATTATATTTTTATTTATTATCGATATGATAATTTATATATTTATGCGGGCGTGTCTATATATATACATATATTATATATTATTATTGTTATTATAAATATAGGTTTCGAGTGGTTATATATATATGTATATAAAAGAGCTCAAATCTAAAACAAATATTTAACCTTCTATTAATTTTATTTGCAGGCCCAAGTTACAAAAATTAGCTAAATTAGGCCTAAGGGTTACAAGGAAAATAATCCAAATTTGAAGGCCCAAAGTCAGAAGGCCCGTGTATCAAAGGTGAAAAAAACCCTAGTTGTTGTCCTGGACTTTGGTGCCGTCAATCCGTAATCGTCCGATCTAGAGGCGATCAATGGCCCAGATTGAAGGTATGATTAGGGTTTTCATAACCTTAAACGATGCTGCCGCCACAGGTGTATCACAATCGTTGGATCCTATCAACGATCCAAAGACTCAGTTGTAACCCGATAGTGCCAACCGTTCAGATCAGCGCGTTGAATACACGCACGCCTCCCAAGCAACCTCACGCGCTCGTGCTTGGGCCCCGTTTCACTCATCCAAATCGTCCGTACATTTGTTCATGCGAGAGCGAACAACTCCCTTTGCCGTGACAATGAATGGCAAGAGCTTTGGTTGCCACAAAATGCCAAAAAAGTGCAACCTTTTCTCCTTCCTCTCACATGCAAACCAAAAACCAAAGAAGATATCAGCAAAAAATTGGGTGATTTCTTCCCTCAGCAAATTGGAACAGAAAAAAGCAAACACAAAAGGGATAGCTTTTCAATTTTTATTCGGGGAGGGGGTGATATAGCATGAACAACACAACCAATACCCTACACCCTATTTATTTGTAGACTAGCTATCGAAGACTATAAACAATATAAGTAGATAGAAAAAAATGTAATATTTTATTTAAGAATGTTGAATTTATAAAATTTTAAAAAACTATAAATTTATAAAATTATAAGAAATGTAAATAAATTTTGAATAGAAAATAAGAAAAAAGGTGGAATACATGAGAATCTAAAAAAATTTAGAAGATGACAGTGGCTCCCACTCACACTAGGTCTATCTCAGTAAATAGATGGTGCCCTTTATTTCATTATCGATGTTACATTTTGCCTTATAATATGGCCCCACGCCACCTAACACAGATTGATTTCTTCTGCAACAATCGTCCTGCTTCCGGTGTAACCCTAACTTCTGCGTATGAACTATGAGCCATATTATATTGCATGGATTTATATTTGATTATCTCAGTTAATGTTCCACACTTTATTATCGACATATCATATATTGAGTGCCCAAATTACCAAATAATTTTTTTCTGCATTGATTTATGTAAGTTTGCATGACTGCATCAAATTATATTCGTAGTTTAGAAGATTTGATAAATAATGTTTAGGTTCTCTGCCGTTAGGCCTACAAAGCAAAACTTTTGTGTGAAAAACAAACCTTTTGGTGTGGGGTCAGTTCTGTCGGCAAACCCTAAAATTTTGGTTGGACTCCTTTCCATTTCATTTCATGATTTTCTTTATAGGTTACATTAGAATCAAATCATAATAAATATAAAATTAAAACTTAATATTTAATTATATTAAATTAACAATAATAAAATACTAGATGAAAAAATGTATATAGATTAACTTTTCTGAATCTTTTTTAATTGTAATTTTTCAAGAAGATAAATTTTCTCTTACCGTAAAAATTCTATAACGGAATAAGAGTAATATAAGTTAATTTATTTCTTGATGACCATTATATCTTTATATAGACTGAATATTAGGTAAGTCTTTTACTAATTTATAAAAGGTTTCATTATATGAATTTTCGTTACATTTAGATTAGATTAGTATTTAAAATTTATACACTTTTATGTTCATTGTAATAAGAATGATGAATAAATTTCTAGATATTTTTCGTACTAGCTAGAAGGCGGCTTGTCAAACCACGATTCTTTATCATTCAGTGATATATTCATTTATTTGTAACTAACTAATTAACTTTGGGTCTATTTAACTATTGACTGTATTACCATATGAAGTGGGGAAGTTTGATTAACTATATAGTATATATTTTAGGAATTATTGATTCCTTTTATTGCTCATTAATAATGATGGTTATAGGTGCTCTTTTCTTCATATATATATATATATATATATATATATATAAGGTTAGTATCCACTTATTTTTAGCTTTACACTTTTTAGAATCGTTGGATACTTGGATAAGGGAAATCAAATGTTGAGATTAACTTCTTGTTTTTTTTCTTACAATTAATATCTTCACATTTTCTAGTGTTAATCTCAATCTTTGGTTTCTCTCATCCAACGATCCTATAAAGGTGTAAAACTAAAAGTTTTACACTAGGTATATGTGGACCCTATAAATATATATGTATATGAAGAAAAATGATCTATTGACAAAATATAAAACTTTTAGGGTAAACTATCAAAACAGTCACTTATTTTTATATGCTAATCTTACTCGTTAAATTCATTTAATCTAGTTAAATTCATTTAATCTAGTTAAATTCATTTAATCTAGTCAAAATGCAATATATTGATAATGTAAGTGATCATAATTTAAGTTTTTTGAATTTAATGAGTAAAGATGTACAAATATAAAAATGAAAGTGACCATCCTGGTAGTTAACCTAAATTATAATTTTAAAATGTTAGCTTATAACATCACTTATATGGTTATAAAATTATTACATGAAATTAATAGAAACTATTATACATAATATATTATTCATATTTTAAACAATCCAATGTGAAAGTAAATAGGCTAGTTAAA